TGGTCCCGTACCGAGGCGAAGGAGCCCTTCCGGCGGGGCCCCAGCCGCAGCTGGTGCTGCACGACGTGGTGCCGGGCGGGTGTAAAATGCCAGAGGTGCGGCCGCAGTCACTGTGCTGCGCCAACCGCAGCTGCAGCCCCAGTCGTGCAGCAACGGCAAGCTAGGAGAGACTTGGCAGGAGAAAAGGGACCCCTTGCCTTGCGAAGCAAGACGTATGCCGATCCTGATGCGCCTTACTGAAACGCAGTCTTGCAGCCAGTCTTGAGAAGGCTTCACAGGGGAAAAGAGACAAGGATTTGAGAGAAAAGTGAGTCGTGCACGGTTAATAACATCACCTCAACAGGACAGCAAGTTCAGCTCTACTGAAGAACCTGACCGCTTCTGTAAATTGCGGTACTGCGTTACTTTGCCAGGACAAGGTACTCTGCTGCGGGCCATTGTATCAAAAAAGATGCTCTATCAGTTCCTGGAAATGAGAAGTTGCAGTCTCATGAGAGGGGAAATAACCTGGGTCTTGCTCTCTGAGGTTTTTGAGAAGAAACAAGCTTGGCGCTTTGCAGCAAGCTGCAGAGTTGGAGCACAGCTGAGGCCGGCAGGCACCTCGGGAGATGCCCTGGCCCAGCCCCTGCTCCAGCACCGCGGGCTGCCCAGGCCCTCTGTCCGGTCGTGTGGTGACTGTCTCCAAGGATGGAGACTCCACCATTTCCCTTGGCAACCTCTTCCAGGGTCTGATCACCCTCAAAGAAGTTTTATTCCCTATGTTTAAATGGAATTTCTCCTGTTTGAGCGTCTGCCTATCGCTGCTTGTCCTGTCACTTGTCAGATCCCCTGAGCCCCCTCTCCTCCAGACTCTCTCAGCTCCCTGGTATGTCAGATCAACTTTGCAGCTCCGTGCTGGGCTCCAGTGTGTCCCCACCCGTGTTGTACTGGGAGCCCAGCAGCAGCGAGTGCAGCACTCCAGATGTGCTCAGCAGTGCTGAGCAGAGGGGAAGGAGACCTTGACCCACTGGTCATGCTCTTTCCAACCCCAGGCCCATCCCTGCGGAGCCACTTCCACCAATGACTGGCCTCCAGTGGGATTTCATACCACTGCTGGCAGCCCTGTGAGCCTAGCGGGTTGGCCGGGGCTTGGTCCTCACCGTCCACTTACCCAGCCCCTACTTCACCAGCCTGTCTGCAAAGCTGTGACGGGAGGCCGTGTCGAAAACCATGCCAAAGTAAAGGTAAGCAGCATCCACTGCTGTCCCACCCTCCACCGAGCCAGTCATCTCCTGGCAGAAGGCTGGCAGGTTAATTGAGCTCTTTTTCCTGTTCGTAAAACGATGACCACTCCCGATCACCTTCTTGTCCTCCCTGTACCTGGAGGCATTTTCCAGGAGGCTTTGCGCTCCATTGCCTCAGGGTGAGGAGAACCAGCCTGCAGTTTCCCAGCTCCTCCTCCTTCGTGAGGATAGGCATGACTTTATCTTTCTTCCAGTCCTCAGGAATCTCTCCCACAGGTGCATCCTGTCGGGTCCCATGGACTCACATACGCCCAGTTTGTTTAAATGTTCCCTAACCTGAGCGTCCTCCACCGATGGCTCGTCTTCCTCGCTACACAGCCACCAAAGAGCATCTGCTGCTCACAGGAGCCTAGAAACAAGGCAGGGGGTTATTCTCTTTCTTTTTTTTGTCTTTTCAAGTTGTGTCGTGTCACACACAGTTGGATCTTTCTAAGCACATAGAGCCTAATGGTCAAAGGAAATTTTGTAGTAGTTTCACGTGCTCACGTCAAGGCGCTTTTCCAGCGTCATGCAAAGCGGTTGTAAAATAAAGACCCACTGCCTGGAAGGAATAACCTAGGATATCAGCGTCCCCTCAACTGTCACCTTAGAGCAAACATCGCTCAAGGCAGTTTCTAAGGATAAGCTATGCGCACCTCAGGTCTCAACGACCCACCTCGGACCACTGTTTCCTCTCCTTGTCCCAATAAACGACTGAGCTGCCCTTCACTGCCCTGGCTGCTGGGGCAGAGTCCCTTGTCGTGAGGACTACGAGAACACGCCCGGAAGCAGAGACCCTCCTCAGGGCCTTTGGCCACCGGGCACAGGCAAAGCAGACGCTCCTCATTGTGCAGCTCCTACAGCACTTCGCCGTATCCCTCTCCTAACTGCATTTTCCCCGATATTTAATACCACATCACCTGCAGAACAACCTCGTTCTTCTTTTGTCAGCTCATCGCAAAAGCAGCTGTGAGCTTGTGCAATTGCCTGTTCTTGGCTGTAACTACTCTTTCACCGCTTTTCAATGTAGAACACCCCCAGAACACTTTGGTTTCAATCCAACAGCGCTTTTCAAGTGGCACGATGTGCCAAACTGCAAATTATCTGATGGAGGCCATCACTGGCCCCTGGTCTGTCAGACAAGGATTGCTGTTCACACTGTAATTACAACAAAAGCAGCTGCTGCACATCCCTTTATTTACATGTGACTAACAATGTGCTTCTGTTCTTCTGAGTCCAGCAATGCTAGGGGTAGAAAAAGCACGCTGAGCTACTTCATGGGCAAAGCACCGCAAACACCAGTGCATTCTGTATTTGCACCAAAGCAAGAAAATCTCCTACAAACTTGTTCTTCAAAGTTCAGTAGAAACCACCAGGACCGCTCAGGTCACCTCAGCCCCTGGTGAGGCTGCGTAAGCGCCATCGTTACTGTGCTGTGAAAGCCAACATCTCCTGTAGAAGCGGGAACCAGTCGGACCCCCCAGGCCTCTGCTGCAGCCCTAGGGACCAGAGAACAGACACCTGCCAGACCCCTACGGGGAAACAGGCCAGTCCCTGAGGGGAAGGGCAGCAGCACCGGGTGACTCCTGCAGCCGATGGCTCTGAGGCACCGCAGCAATGGCACCGGGGCACCAGCACGGCCCAGACCCCTGAACAGCCGAGCAGGGGGGTTGCCTGTGGCAAAGGGGCTCCTCTCAGGGAGGAAGCTAATTAAGCTGCAGTCAGGGTGAAGCAGCCTAGTTTCAACACCCAGTAAGGCACCATTTTGCCAACCTCAAAACGAACACAACTCGCATTTGAAAAGAACTTTATTTAAAATCAGAGGTTATACATACTTCCTCCCACCACCGCCACTTACAAAATACGAGCGTCCGAGAACAAGGAATGCATGTTACCTTGTACGGCTCGGTTCCGGGGCATGCTCTTGGCCGCGCTGGTTTACACCAGTCCCAATGATCTCATATGGAAATATGACAACTCATACAAAATATCTGCTCCTTCACGGCTAACAGGCATTTAATTAATCTCTACAGAAACTTTTTTCTATTACTTCTAGCGTAACTAGATTTTAAATTTATCTTCTGCTAAGAAACCTGAAAAAAGGAAATCCTCCTTTAGCAACAGCGTACAACAGCAGACCGATTTCAGACTGCCTCTGTTACCACCACAGACAGCAAGAGGCCAGCGCAAAGCCTGGGCCACCAGCAACAAAATATGATCAATAGCAGCATTTTCCACTGCGATCTCAAGTTACAGCCTTCTACAGACGTAAGGAGGGCTTTTTTTTTTTTTTTTTTCTTCAGCATCACTAAGAAGGAACTGTGATCATCCATAGGGAAGCAGTTAAGTACTGGATCCATCGTTAGATGAAATTGAGTTGAAAGCAGGATTTACCTTAAATAGGATTAAATATATATATTGCAAGACATACCACACTCTGCAGATGCTGCACATAAAAGCAGAACCGTGGGCAGGAGGGGCAGGGTCCCTGTGCCTGCACGAAACATTCCCACACAACGTCTTAAAATTTAAAACTATCACCACTTGTTGAAAGTTGTCCAAGAAGTATTTACAGCACAGCCGCGGCCCGCAGCCAGGAGAGGCTCGGTAAGCCAGCAGCTCTGGCCTGCGCCGCTCGGCAGTTGTGAAACTTCAGCATCGGGTTATGTCAGAAACAGCTGCTGCTCGGTCATGCCGGTTTCTAATTAAGCAACACTCACTAACTCTATACAAACAAGCGTTTCGTATTTATTGGGACAAGAGGTATAGGATAAAGTTTCCCGTCGTGATAAGCGTTTGAGCGCTAACGCACTGCCACATGCTGCAGTAAGACTACTCTACGCGTACAGAGAGGACGATGAAGCTACAGGACGCCGCACGGCCCAACTGCTTCACTAAGAGCATGCTTCGGGTTCGTACTCCGGCTGCTAAAAAGATCCTGGCTCCCAACTTTAAATAAAACCATTTCCAGCTATACAGAGACTCAAGCAGATCTCGAGACCGGCGTTTACAACAGATGTCAGTTATTCCGAAGTATCTACATCGCGTACAGTTTAACATATCTACAGAGAGCATGACCGTATACTTCACTGGAATAAGCAGGTCCACGATTGTAGATCAACAGTGTAATTTTATTGCTTTATACACGGGGTGCTGTTCAAGGCACTGTGGCACGGGCTAGAAAACTCGGAATGACTCGTGAAGGGACCTGGAATGCGACACGGCCGATGCCGAGCACCCGCTCCTGGGCAGCCGCTGCGACGAACCGGGGCTGACGGGGCGCCGGCCGGGGGGGGACAGTTCATGGCAGCGCTGGGGGGTGGCGGGGGGGCGCGGACGGGCCTCGCCCGGCGCCGGGCCCCTCACATGCCCATCCGGATGCTCTGGATGATCTGGAAGATGGCTGCAAGAGAGCGGAGGAGGAGCGGGGAGTGGAGGCGAGCGCTCGCCGGGGCAGCGCCCGCGGGGGCGGCGGGCTCTCCTCGGGG